CAGAGATGTCACTGACACCTTCCTGATCAGATGAGTCTGCCTGTGTAATTTGGTAGCCATTCCGCTGTTGGTCTTAAGCCTGTAAAGGTATCCTTTGTGAGCACTCCATAGCCCAAACTCACCTGTGACAATTCTGTTAGAGTTCAGTTTGGTCAAGATGTTGCTTCTTCAGAAATCAGAATAGTAGTTGGTTAGTTATTAGCCAAATTTCAACTGAAAAGAAATTGAATGGTCCCAGAACACACACTTAAATTCTATCCCTCCAGAAATAACATCATAGGTGTATTAGCATTATTACTGGCACAGATAGTTTGCACTACAACATTTATTGACAAAGTTCTTCCATTTTAATATTTTTCATCATTTCCTAAATGAGTATTGCTAGTTTCCCTACTAAGAATTTAGCACTAAGCTTATTAGTTGTGATGGTGTACACTGTTTCTATGGCGTTCCAAAGCAGACCATTAAATGTCCACATTAGATTTAATCCAAAGTGTGAGGCAAGCCATTTCAGCATCTCTCGGGGGCCCCACTGGCTCTCACGGAGAGTAAGGTGGTGGTGACTGTTGTGCGGAGAGTTTCTCATAGGCAGGCGGAGCATTGGGAACCTGTGAGAATGAGAAAAAGAGAGTATGGGCTTGGCCACAGTGCATATGTTTCTGGGAGAGCCATTAAGTCAAAATAGGTAGCATCACATTTCTACTTCTGCTCTGGACTGAAACTTTTAAGTGTCCACATCTGATTTCCACCCAACAAGGTAATCGTTAAATTTCACAAGTGCATGTGTTGAAACATTGGGGCAAGAGTAGAGAAAAATAGGGCTAATGGGCTTCCCAAAATCTCAAAAAACATATATACCTGGAATATCCTTGTCAGTAGAAGTCCAAGCCCTAACTAATGAATTACTGAACTCTTTTACAAACACTAAATACATTGCATTTTTTACCACAGGTAAAATTAACCTTAATAATATATTTCATTTAAGCCCACATACCAAAATATTATCATTTCAATGTAACCAATATAAAAATCACTAATGAATTATCTCTATTCTTTCCTCATACTAAGTCTTTGAAGTCTGGAATGTGGCAGAGCACATCTTAATTCAAACTACTGTGTTGTAAGTGTTCAACAGCCACATGTGGCTAGTGGCTACCCTGCTGGGCAGCACAGCTCTGTACAATTAATAATAGGTCTTTTATTTCCTCCCTTAGATATATCTATGTTTACGACATAGACAAATATACTAAAAACATAAGACAAAAGGATACTGTATCCAGAACCAAGTTCTCCCTTTGGATCCTACGTGTATGGCTCTCATTAATGACCCTGGAAAATTGGGGTGTGAGAGAACACAATCTAAGAAAATCTCTGGGCTTCCCTTATTTTTCACCGTTATCATTATTTTTTATTATGGTAAAATAGAAATAAAATTTACCATTTTAACTATGTTTAGGTGTACAGTTCAGTAGCATTAAATACATTCACATTGTCCTCGCTCTTTAAATGGGAATAATTTTATTCATTTGAGTTAAAAGCAGCTATTCACAAAAACCCCAAGATGCAGGATCTCAACCTACCACAGGTTCATAATTGTTCCCTTGAAAAGTCAGTTTGCTGTCCTGGTAACCAGGTCCCTCGCGTGGACATATTCCTGTTAAGGTACTTTGAGTACCAGCATAAAGGCTTTTGTCCTGAAATGTGAATTCATGAAGGTCAGTGGGTGAGAAGAAATCATTGAATCCATTAAAGAAATGAGAAAGAAGTTAAGTTTTAAGAATGGGCTTTAATCTTGGTTCTGCCACATACTGTGTGTCCCCTCTGAACTCCAGTTTTTGCATCTGTAATATGAAAATAACATCACCTACCTCTCAGAGCTGTTGCAGGAATCAACTAGAGGTTAAGCTCCTAGTATAGTCCCTGACACCCAGTAGTCAATGAATATTTTAAAGGGAAGGAGAAAATGGGAGTCTAAAAAATGGACCTCAGAATGATTGCACGTGGAGATCAGAGCTAGTGAGGCGGGAGCTGGTATCACAGCGAGGACAAGCGCTTGACAGCGTGACAGCAGGGATACACTCTGTTTCCGCCTTTCCCAAAATGACAGCAAAATATCTGAAACACCAGGAATGCGTGTACTGTGATAGAAATGCTGCGGTGTGGCCCTGAGCTTCCAAGTTCAGTTGCAACATGATGACAAGTCAGGCTAAGGCTAAATTATGCACCCTGAGTTACTGGGGGAGGCTGGATAAAAGCTTAGTGCTTTGCATAGGGTTAGAGGATGATGGTCTTCACCCCTGGAACAGAATGACAACAGTTTGTACAAGACAGACACACAAACCACGAAGTGGAGACTGCAGGAGTAGTCCACCCTGGAGAGAGGGAGTATTTCATCACTGACACTGAGGAAATGCTGGCATTTTGTGACAATAAAAAACAGGCTAACTTTTAGTCACTTTGATTGCTGTTGTTAAATTCCCTGCAACAGTGCTTCTCAAACTTGAGCGTGCCTCAGCATTCCCTGGAGGGCCTGCTAAACACGGCTGGGCCCACGCCCAGAGTTTCTGACACAGTCTGGCTTGGGCGGGGCCCACAGATTTGCATTTCTAGCAGGTTCCCAGGAGATGTTGCTGGTCCAGGACCACACCAAGAACCACCGCTCTACAGACAATGCACCTATTGCCTGTGCCTGGGGCAGCTCAGCTATACTCACATACTTAGAGGGACCAGGCAGGTAATGCAAGGGGATCAAGGGGTCAGGTGGGGGCCATAGGAAAGCAGGACGTGTACATCCCATCTGAAGGGACAACCACTGCATAGCTGCCAGTTTTCCCAGAACTTTTAATTTTTTTAAAAAGAAACTAGAAATCAAGATTTTTATATAAAACATTACTTTAAATGTTGGCACCTAATTCAATTTTTTAAAATACAGGCCCATACATTTTAAAACATGAAGTTTTATATGAAATTTACATTCTTCATTTTATAAATGCTTGCTATATACACATATTTTTAATTCTCACCTGAGGTTATGTTCTGATTGATTTTAGAGAGAAACGGGGAGAGAGAGAGAAAGAGAAAAATGATGAACATCAATTATTAGGAACCATTACATTGACTTAAGTGGGCTGCTCTGGAAAATTGACACTAGCTTTCCTGCAATCCCTAATAAAAGATTTTCTGTGCACAATAAATAAACCAAATGATTTGAAGAATCATTTGACTCCAAATATTCAAATACCTTGAAAACTGTACTGTTTTATTTCAATCATCATTGTAGATATAACTGAAGCCTACCATCCCCACCCATGTCCTCCACTTTTGTCTGTGTCTAATATAGTTTCAATCCAGAAAATAAATAAATAAATGAAATACAGGCTCAGCCTGGCCAGTGTTTCTCAGTGGTTAGACCGTTGGCCTGTGGACCAAAGGGTAGTGGGTTTGATTGCGGTCAAGGGCACATTCCTGGGTTGTGGGTTGGTCTGGGCACGTGCGGGAGACAACCAATTGATATGTCTCTCTCACATCGATGTTTCTCCCTCCCTCCTTCCCTCCTACTCTACCTGAAATCAATGGAAAAATTGAAGATTAATCAAAAAGAAAAAAAAATACAGACCCAAACATATCTGTGAGCCAAATCCAGGTAGCAGGCGTTAGCAGCATGCTCTCTGGAGGCCGGCTCAGGGAGGGTGGCTCTTTGGGCTTGTCTGGGACCCTGGCTGGTCACTGGGGTCTGTGCACTAGGCTGGGCGAGAAGGGCATCAAAGCAGGTTTCCAAGGGAGGAGCAGTGTTTGGAACATCAACTGGACGAGGCCAGACATGGACTAAGCTGATACCTATGTAGTCTGCAGACTGTAAAGTAGTTTTCCTAAACTCCGGCCTGAAATTATTATTGACCCTACCTCCTGGAAGGATATGTGCACAAGGGCCCTAATTTTTTTTTTTTTTTTTAACATTAGTTTGTCTCTTTTTAATCAAACATTGAAGAAAAGATCATTTCAAACTTACCCAGATGCTTTCAGAGACTAGGAAAAAAAGGAACACATCCTAGCTCATTTTTAAAGGCTTGTATAACTTTGGTACGAAAAGCAGATAACAAGGGTGAAAAAAGAAGAAAAGAAAATATAGTCCAATCTTCCTTCTGAAAGTGGGTGCAAAAAATACTAAATAAAACACAAGCAAACTGAATCAAATACCCACGTGTCAACTATTTATCATTACATAGCAAACCTCCCTCAAACTCAGTGGCTTAGAACAGCCACCCAAAGGACCCTAATCTTGACCTGAGGACACAGGGAGGTTCTGCTTCCCTCCCCAGCTCCCAGAGATCCGCCTCAGAAAAGGTATTTAGTTCGTCTGTCTCTCCCTTTGCTAACAATCGCTTTTATTCTTTTTCTCTGTTTTTTAAATCTCTCACCTGCCACAGTGTGCATGTCAAAATGCGGTTTCCTGGGTCTCCACCAGAGCTGGTCCTAGAATCTGCATTTTAGCAAGAACCCCGGGTGATTCGTGTTCAGGGGCCCCTGGCCTGGCCACGCACCGAGAAACAGACACCAGGAGACATGGGTGTAAACTCAGCTGTCAGCAAGGCCTCAAAATATTCTCTAAGAATCAAAAGCATTGTGTTCTAAACTTCCAGGTGAAAGAGTGACATTGGTAAATACAAAAACAAACTTTCAGCACCTTATAAATCATTTTCCTGAAGAAAGAGCAGTCTTTCCTCTGAAAAGACATTTTCTAGGCCTAAGAGGAATTGTTAGCCAAGGAAGAAATTTTAGGAGATCTAAATTCCAACCAACCTTGCTACCATTCTGTGTTCAGTGAAAGTGGGAAGGTGGGCATTGCCAAGCTTAATGAAGGTTGTTAAAGGTGGACTAACTCAGATACCCAGAGCTTGCATTTATTGTCATTTATGTATTTCTGTTTTAAAATGAAAATAGAATCACCAAAGAGAGACAGGGAGATAATTATGTAATTAAATGCAGCACTTAATGCACTATTTTACATAATTTTACCTACATTTCTTTGCTGATTCCCAACCTGGCATTTCAGGAAATATGAAAGTCTAAAAACAAGATTTTAATATTAATTTTAAAAATAAATGACAGAGAANACAAGATTTTAATATTAATTTTAAAAATAAATGACAGTATTTTTGGCAGGGACTCTAAACACATAAAAATTCCAGAAATTGCAGATCACTGATCTAGACCCAGAGTGATAGAGGGATGGTCGGTTGAACTTGAATCTTACCAGGCAAAATATTCAGTGTCTGAGCCCATAGTGTTAAGACTCTCTGCTCCTCTTAAGTTGAATGAGTTTAAGATGAGCATGTTGAAGCAGAAAGGAAAATTAAAAAACAAGAAAACAAAAAACCAAAACACATTGTCTTTTTGCCCTGTATCATCTAGCTAGCAATTGCGGAGAGTTAGGAAATAGGTACCAACATACTGAGTCTGTAGATCTTTTACTCCTTGAAAAGCTAAATCATTGTGATTTTTTATATGCAATCATAGGATGAATACAAACCATATAGAAAAAATACATATATTAAACAAAACCAGATGTACATCATATTATATCATGTGTCTAGGTATAGAACAGAGCAAATGATGCTTAGAGGAGTTAAAATCCAGGGTCACCAAGCAAGTCAATGGCAGACAATGAGGCCAAAACCCGATGCCATACAACTGGGTGACTGCTGTGTGCCAAGCACTGTGCCAGGCACTGTGCCAGGTACTGGAGATACAAAGGTGAATGAGAAATAGTCTCCACTGCAGTTCATAAGTGGGGGACAGACAGGGGTGGAAGAGACAAAAGTAAATAGCCGATTACAGGCAATGTCATAACCCTGAGCTAGACGTACAAATGAAGTTTTGTGGCAGAGAGCAAAGCGCCCCTCGCCCCACCCCAACTAACCTGTTGTGGACGGCCACAGACAGGTGTCACAGAGGCAGGGGCCCCATCCCTGACCTCCTAACCCAAGGCTTTCCTGTGGAACTTGGTTTGGAGTCTTACTCAGACTCAGCAACTTCTCCTCCTTCCCACGAGATGTCAACACCCTGGAGAGCTGCTGCTCCATGGGCATGTCGGCCCCCAAACTCACCCTGTCCTTCATGGTTTGTATTTGGGACACTCTGGCAAGATGGGTCTTAGGAAAAGGGACGCATGGGACTGCCCAAGCTTCCTGGCAAGGAGGAGAATTTGAAGCTACAGCGCTCACCTTCCCCTCTCCTCCTCTGTCTGCCAAGCGACGGCCTCCCACCCACACCAATCCCCCCTCCGTCGCAGAACCTTTTCCTCTGAGTGAGGAATGGGACTTTCCAACATCTTCTGTAAAGATAATTTTTTTTTCATCATGTATCAACCTCAGAAGCTTTCAGATCTGTAATAACAAGAGAGACAGGAGAGAGAAGGAGGGTGAGAGAGAGGAAGGGGGGGGAGAGGAGAGGGCGGGGGAGAGAAAGGCAGCTCTCCTTTCATTTCCTTGCTCACTGTGGCCAAGGCCTTTGGATGCGTGAGTGCTAGGGTGCTACCTGGCTTTGAAGCGAGGTTTCTGACACCTGTAGTTTTTATAGTTTAGAGACTCAGTTGATGTTTCCCATTTGTGGAATATCCTGCTGCCCCAAGACTGGGCTGTGTCACTTCTTAGCTTCCTGATCATACAGGTAAAGATGAAAAAGTCCTATTAGAACCACACTGGCCAGCAAAGGAAGATGGAGCCTGTTAGAAACCTGGTGGTCCTTTGTGCTGCTGAGGAGTGAATGGTCACCTCATCGCCCTGATGGCCAGACGGGTCCTAGGCATACTGGGTTGCTTGGTACAGCAGAGTTGGAAGAATTCCCAGGCAACGTGAGAGGAAAGGAGTGAAGAGGCAGGTGAGAGGAGCGGCCGTTAGGTGGAGCAACGGAGGCTGTGAGACTCCCCAGAAGGACTGGTAGGACCTGGAGTGTCTCTAAGCTGCTGGTGGCTGTGCAAGAGGACCATGAACCTGCCCCTGTGCCCCACAAAATACCAGTGCTCAGCTGCACACACAGCCAGGCACTCAAGTTTGCTCTGAGTGGAACCAAAGAGTGGTCACTGGTTGGGGCCTGGTTGGGGCTGACGCCTGGGCAGAGGCCAAGGAAGGGATGCAGGAAGGATAATGTAGAGAAAGACTCATCAGAAGCAGGAATCAGAGCTAGAGGTGATCATGAGAACGTTACCCCACTGCCTGGAAATTCACAGAAAAGGGGAAGTGGGGTCCTGGATCTGGAAGGATCCAGGCCGTGGGAGCTTTACCTTCAATCTCCGGTATCCACTTCGTTTTCTACAGTACCAGCAGCCAAGGAACAGCAGGAGCCCCAGGATCACTGTCAGGATGCCGATCCCTACGATCCTGGCCCAAGAGATAGACAAATCCATCTTGGTACAGAAGCCTCGCCCCACATTATGATAAAACATTCCTCTGTCTTCACAGGGACTTTGCCAGCCCAGAACAGCACTGTCCAGTCCCCAGGTCATTTCCCACCACATGGCACACCGAGCACCCACCAGGCCTCCTGCACTTGTATCCAGGGGCCCCTCAGGTACGTGCCAACAGGAGCCATGCTAACTGCCATGGGCCCAAGCACCCACGTTCCTGGTGCAAGAGGTGCAGTAGCAACTGACCCTTATGTGGACAATATATTTATTGAGGCTGAATTACCTTTTCTTCGGGACCGGTTTAAACCATTCTCCCCAACTATCAGTCCACAAAAAGGAAGTGAAAATTAGCACTGACTTAGCATCTACTATAAGGCGGTGCCAAGCTAAACGGTCCAGATACATTAGCTTATTCAGTTCTCACCATAGCCCTGGAAGGCAGGCACCACTTCTCATCCCCATTTCATAGATGAGGAAATAAATTCGAGGTTAAGTGCATAGGATTCAAGGTAGCGTAGGATTTGAAATGGACTCTCCCTTGGGCCCTCTCAGCCCAGTCCCTCCCCCACACCTCACTCCTTGCCCATCTCTCTCCATTTCTTTCCTAACATATTCACCTTCCTAGACTCAGCCTCATTCCTCCCAGTTTGATGGCAGCCCATCCCGCCTTCTCTCATAGGCCTCCCTGTGCTGCTAATCAGCAGTGTGCTTACCTGTTTCTTTTAGAAATACAAAAAGAGCTCCCAGAGGAGTTTTTTAGTTTGTTTATGTTTTTAAAATCTGTGTCCTCAATACCTAGGAAAGGTCAGGCACATAGGTGTTTCAAGAAATATTTTTTGAAGCTAGGTGGATGGATGAATGGATGGACAGTTGTGTGGATGTCCAAACAAATGAGTAAAAAAGGAACAAATGAATTATGGCTGATAACAAATTCACATCCTCTCCCCCATAACACCAGTCTCTCTGAAAAATGAGTGAACAATTTAATGTCTTTTTAAAATAACTATCTAAAAATATGTGGATTTGTGGCAAAATGTGACTTTAACCTTTTGTTAGTCATCGACACTCTAGTGAGAAGAAAGGGATCAGCAACATACCACAGAGCAAGTTTTGGTTGGGGATGGAGAAAGGTAATAAAGAAAAGGAGAGAGCTTGGGAACCAGCCATTGAGAGCTTAGAGCTGGCACATTCTGACTGAAGGGATGGAAGTAGGGCTTGTAGGATTTAGAGGTCCCTGAGACTATAACCATCGCATATGGATGCCAGAGCCCAGCCCAGCTAGGACATGTGCCCTGTGTTTATGCTCAGCTTGGCCTCCACCTGCTCCAAGATTCCAGTGCAGGTCACCAAGGACCAGGTCAGATGGGTTAGTGCTTGCTGCTTACCCTGCTCTCACCTGAGGGACCTGGAAGAGGCACCTCAGAATGGAGCTAGTGGTAGAGCCCTGGGGCGGCTGACATGAGAGCCCTGACCTCTCAGCCAGCCTGGCTGCCAGGTCAGAGAGGCCAGATGACATTTGGAGTCGGGACTCGTAGATATTTGGTTAGTACCTCCCAGCTGGCCAGGCATGGATGGATTACTAAAAGAAACAGCCCTGGGGCTCAGCCCTGGGAAGAAGTGTCCAAGCTGACCCTGGAGGGAAGCTGCAGCATCACTGAGAAGGGTCTGGTTGCCAGCAGCAGGATGCCGTCCAGAAGTCCAAGCCAGCCTAGGGGGCCCCATGTCCGGTGGCCCGTGGGAGGCATCACTTACCCGATTCCAGGCCCTGGGGCTCTGCTTTCTCTAAGATTGCCAATTAGCTAACATCTGCCTGATTTTCTACTTCTCAGCATGAACAACATCAACAAAATGCAGAGTGCAGGGGCTTTTATCTGTGACTTGCTAAAGAAAGGCTCTGCAGAGCTGGGTGACTTATAAGAGACTGAGTAGCTGCAGGCAAAATAAGGTCTAATGGAGGCTTCTTCTGGAGAGACTTTTGCCCAGCACCACCTGCCGGACCACCTCCATCTCAAGACGCCGAGGGACCAAGGGGCCATCTCCCAGTGGGATAGAGAGAAACATGGCATGACAGTGCAGGATAAAACTCAGACCCAATCATGCCGGCCAGCCCACCACTTTCTAGATCATGAGGCTGAAACCCACCGTGACTCAGCAGCATCGGCACCACCTCAGGGGCTGCTCTACCATTCACTAAGCACCAATTTGTGCCAAGCCCCCCACATACAGGCTCCTGTTCCATCTGCATGGCAATCTCTGAGGTAGGTATGATGTTCATTTTACAGCTGACATCCCAAGATGTTAGGCCGGTAAAATGCCTCAGGTTGCACAACAGGTGAGTGGCAGAACCCGCTTTCACAGCGACTAGCCCGAGATACCCAGCAAGTAAGTCTAGGATTTGGGCCAGACCCAGGTCCCCCATCGCCCAGGCCAGCGCTTCTCCTACCAGATCACCCTTTCCTGAAATGAAGCTGTCACATGGAGTGTTTGGTGGGCTCTCGTGACTAAGGCAGCTGATTTGATTCCCAGCCTGCCTGTGTTCTGATTTCGCCCCCAGGTCTGCGGTTATAGCCCTGGACACCAGGACACAGACAGAGCTCTGTCCCAGCTCTTTACACAGTCATGCTGCACTCACCACCCCGAGGCACGGACGGACTGACTGGGAGCGGAAACCACCAGCATATGCCAGAGAAACCCAGTACCCAGCTGGGCGGGGGCCTCAGAGTGTCACCCTAATGCCTCCTGCAGTAGAGTCACCCGAGATGTGCGTTACAGTGCAGATCCAGGGCCCCCCACCCCCAGTCTGACCGAATCAGCCTCTTGGGTGGCAACACCTAGAAAACTGCATTTCTTCAAGCTCATGGGTGACTTATGCCGTCTCACATGAGAGAACCCCTCTCTAGGTTCCATAGCAGTAGAGTCTATTGAGTCATCACGCAGAAGCTGAAACAATATCCTACTTAATACCATGTGCAATGATCCCCCCCC